AATAATCGAAATACAAAGAAAAATATTATGTTATGCTTTCTATCTTTATAATTGAAAAAGACAAGTGATAGATTTATTTTATTAGCATTTATTATCTTTGTTTATCGAAATTCTTAAATTCGAAATGTTAATTATTCACTTTAAAATAATTGAATTAACAAATAAATGAGTATCCTCTTTTTTTTTATTGAATATATCTCAGCAGGAATAGACTTTAATTATATATGCGTTAGAACCCTACCAGTCAAGTTATTGGATATGTCGGACGTTTATTTTTCCGACGTATGAATATCTATTACTTCGTTAATTTGCGGGAAAAAAAATCCAGGAAAGTTGTGACATTGGCATTTCGATTATCTTATCTTGATTGCATACTTTTATCCATTACTTACTGACATCAGATATTCGGTATGTATATTGCATTGATTGTATTATTTTGATCGAAATTTTGATAGAAATAAACAGTGAATCAGATAAAGAATGGCAGATACATAAGTCATTTGTTAGTTTATGATCAATAGATTAAAAAGTCCTGAAACAAGCATATTATAATGAACATTCTATTAAGAAGTTCTATGAAAAAAAAAACTAGTAAAATAATTTTACTTCATAGAAATTTTCGAGAAAAAGAAATGTAACGACTATCGATTTTGTTTTTTTCATACACGTCTATTCTTATTACCGATATAGAATATGAATTGAAAAGAGCTAGACAAATCGGTTTTACTTTACCGGGCATCATATCTTTTAAACGTTTGATAATAATATACTATTGAAATACAAAGCAATTGGAGATATATTTTTCATTTAGTATCAAATCTAATAAAAATATAGGTTTAAAGAAATTACTAAAATATCTTTAAATAAATCATAGGAAGTCTTTTTTTATACATATATCTGCAAATCTTTATATAACTAGTACATAACATAAATATCAATTAAAAAGTATAGAATGATATTTTCGTTCTTTTGTAAAACTAACTATTATTGAGGAAAATGTTTTCTGTTTGCTAAGTAGATGTTAAATATAACGAATATAGATCGTATATGTTTGGCCTTTGTCAACAAGTTTGTGTATTTGATGGAAAACATTAATGACGTTTCCGTCTTCCTATCATATCTCGTTTTTCATCAATACTAGTTGCAACAATTATCATATCGTTTAACATTTTCACTAACATACAAGATATGCATGAACGCATCGATATTATTATATATATATATCCAAGTATCAACAAGAATTACTTACACGTAACCTTTTCTCTACTGAGCCAAGATAAAACCATAAGCAAATGTTATTATTTCCTTTAATATGACCAGTACTATATGTAAACACATGTTTTTTCGATTAGCTTCTTTTTTTTTAACTAATTCAACAATAGACAATGAATAAATCCAGGGCATAGTATTATTATTATGATTATTATTAAGGAAATATATAAGAAAAGAAATATAATTAGGATCATTTAATATACATTCTTGAATTTATTGTTAGTTTATGTTTATACGAAAGACAATCATTATTTCAGAGTATACAAAAAAAAAAGAAGAAGAAATGCACACAATTCAAAGCTTTTAGAACGGAAATGCTACATGCAGTAAATGGAGACACGCAAACATAACGCATAACACAACAAAAGGTGGTTCTTAAAAAGCAAAGAGAAGAAAAGAAAAAACTAGCGGAGTTTATATAGCATTAGAGAAAAAAAAAAGTATTACAACCATTATTGTTCTTTATTTTTATTGTTAATAGCAAATCATATGTTACTTTAGTTTGTACTAATGAATGCCGTTCGATCTGCAGGTGGAGGTGGTAATAGCGACAATTACAAGGGTGAAAATGGTAAGAGATAATTTTTTTACATTAATCTTTTCATTATAATACGCTTGATTTCTCAAGAGATCCTTTCTTTTTCCGCTTTTATTCTCTTTATTGATCACAGACATATATATATATATATATATATATATTCGTATAATAAGAATCAGTCTTTTTTTCTGATTGCTAAACATAGACAGATATATAAACAATAATCAAGAAAAATACAGATGTGGCAAGCCGTTGAAACATCAATTCAAGCACTTAATAAAAATCGACGATTGAATGTCAGTTTTAAAACATCTTCACCAAGTAAAAAAAATTATTTATTTATTTATTTATTTTTCTTAATAACAAAAAAAAAGTAATTAAAATAATTATTACATAGATGTGTATGTTTATTTATAGAAAATAATTCAGCAATTTCTCCAATATCAAGACCAACTTGCTCAATAACGGAATTAATGAGAAAAACAAATTTTTCAAAGGACGAAATACGTCATCTTTATCGAACATTTAAACAAGTAAATCATTTTTTGTTATATTTATTTATTCTATTTCCGTAGTAAAATAGGATAGTCCATCAGGTCAAGTCAGTAAAGAGCATTTTGCCTCGATTATTGCAACATTATTTCCAACTGGTGGTATGTTTTTTTTCCTTGTTATTATCTAAGATAATAACACATTTTTCTATTACTGTAGAATGTTATCGTTATTCCGTATTTCTTTTTCGAAATATTGATCGATCCAATAGTGGTACAATTCGATTCGAAGATCTTGTTGCAACATTTGCAATATTAATTCATGGTTCAATTGAAGATCGTCTTAATTGGATTTTTGATTTATATGATTTAAATAAAGATGGAAAAATAACAAGAATAGTTTGTAACAAAAAGAAATATATATATATGTCTAATTACATCATTATTAGGAATTACTTCAATTAGTTGCATCAGTTTTTCAGCTTATTGTTCCGGTTTGTAAACTCAATTACACATCCATTACAAATGCCATCGAAGAACGAACAAATCAATTATTTCATGTTTGTAATATATATATATGTAAATATACATATATAATTAATTATTAAATATTTTAGAATTGGGATAGAAATGGAAATGGTCTTGTATATAAAGAAGATTTTCTTCAATATTGTCTACAGGTTGATTTCATTAATTTTATTTAAAAAAAAAATTAATTGATAGAATTTTTCTTTTTAAATTACAAAATTGTTAAGGAAATCGAATAGTAATAGATTTTAATCTACTCGACATCTTTTGTTTGTAATGAATAAAAAATTCTATTAGCACGCATTGAATGATACCTTAGGGAGTTTATGTCATATCCGATCGAATAGTAGTTTTAACTTACATAGATGTTAACTAGAATGTTAATATAAACACTCTACTATATTTATACACATTGATTTAAAGTGATGAAGACTTGAGATAATATCATTTTATTTGGTTATGATTTATTTAATGAAAATAAGAATTGAGTAATCTAGGTATATTTGTGGCTTTCCGAATATAAGATTTATACAGTTTTTTTTATAAATTAAGATTAATATTAATATTATAGATAATCAAATAACTGATGAAATATGCCTTATTAAATCCTCTTATTTTTATCTTGATTGATAGGCCGTATTTTGACCTTTTCTTTTGTCTATAATAAACATGGCAATTTTGTTTTTCATGTACGTAAAGATATGCTATTGAAAACGTTTGATACTAAAATATTCTTTTTTTTTGACTGTAAATAATGATGTGTATAGTTTCCTATAGAAATGACGTTTCAGTTATTAATTTAAAAGCTATTACATGAATATTTATTATTCTCTCAAAATAGAATCAAGATTAGAGGAAATTAATTTGTTCGAAACTATACTAAATATAGAAACAAATTGTCTGTGATTCTCCGAATGAATTATAATATAACTTAGATATAAAGCTGCTTATGTATATCGACGTCTTGCTATTTAGTTGTATTCAATAAAAGTTTTACACGATAGAAATTAATATCTTGTTTTTCTGAATTACCTGATGAATCGGAGAAAATTCACTTTATATAAGTAATATTTACCAAAACGGAAATTAAATATCGTTGACAAAAATTTAACTTGACACGTTTCTATCTGTAATAGTATTTCGAAATATATAAAAATCAGTATTGTGTTATTCGAATACAGTACAATCAACGTTATTTGTATTCTTTATCTATCACGTTTTTTTTCTTGTTTATATTTAGAATGAAGCTATCATTCGTTCTGTCAATAAACTCAAACCAGACTTACGTTTATAACTAATAATATTATTATTATTTATATTTTTTCCTTTTTTTTTATTCTTCTTTTCAAAAAAAAACAAACAAACGCGCATACACACAAAAAATATTTGTATACACACAAGTGGCAATACACATGGTGTTCACAATAATAATAAAAAAAAACAGAAGACCAGGCTCTAAGTGATCCGAAATCTTATTTAATAGAAAAAGAAAAAGAAAAAAGACGATTTTACTTGTTTATCCCTGAGAGAGAGAGTCCTATAGATTAATGTATATACTGCATAGATTATATCTCGAATACGATAGAGTTCGAGAGAGAGAGAAAAAAAAGGATTTTTTTTTTATGTTTTGTTTTAGATAATAATCAATATTTATATATATATTAAATATGTAACTCCTTATTTCTTTTATCGAAAAAGAAAAAAAAAACACAACAAATATCGTGAATTTCGCCAAACATCTGCCTGTTTTGTAGAGTCGTCGATCAATTAGTCGGTCAAAAAAAAACGAAAAAGAAAAGCAAACAACTATTAAAATTTTAAAAGAATAATGCAAAGTAGCAGAAAAATGAAGCCAAAAAAAAGAAAACGAAAAAAAAAATGGTACAACTCTCGGATTAAAAAGAAGGATGTAAAGAGATAGCATATGTCACTGTTTTTCTCTATATATGGCTATTGTACCTTTTCTTACGAACACTGTTATTCAAAAGTGACTGAGAAAAGAAGAAGAAAAAAAAAAGTTGATGTTTGAAACAACAAATAAAAAGACTGTACAAATATCTCTTTAAACAAATATATGAATAAAGAGAACTAGAGAATAATGTTGGACCTGAGTGATAAAAGAAAAAAAAGAAAAAAAAAACACACACGTGTGTAATGATTAAATAGTAAATTTAATTATTCGATTGTAAACCATTGAGCATTTCGCCAAGTAAACAACCGTCAAGAAGTTTTCCGTTATGTTTACGATCAATTAATTGTAAAAATTTCTTTAAATCATTTCCAATCAAACGTACATCGGGTAGTTTTAGTAGAATACAAGCAAATTTTTCTTGTTCATTTGTTGGTGGTTGTTGTTGTTGAGATGGTGATCGATTGGTTGAATTTGATGTTGATG